GCATGAAATGAGCTTCAAATCAACAACAATGAACCAAAATATGACTTAGTTCTACAATGAAGCATGACTCATGCAAGAACTAGCTCAACACATCAATAAAGGTTGAGTTCTCTTACCTAGAGCCTCAATTACGAGTGTAGGACCACAAAGCAACAATCAACCTTCAATTCTCTTCAAATTCTAAGCAATATTGAAATGAACTCAAGACTCTCACTTCCTCTCTCTCTAAATTCGGAATTCTAGATGAAATCTGGCTGAGCAAATGTGTTTGGCTCAAGTATAGTGAGCTCAAGGTGTAGAGGTAGTGGCCCACTCAAGGGCAAAACGGTAATTAAGTCCAACTCTTTAATTAGCTTATTTAATCTAATGTAAGCATACCTAATCAGTTTTCGGATAATTATACCATAAAATCTCATAAATTATGACGATCATAAAACATCAATCAATTCCCGGTTCGGCCGCCGATAAGGCCTCCAATTAGCAGTTTGAACATAAAACATGAACAGATCAAATAAACAATCAAACAGATAGAATACAAATTAACATACATACTCAGTCAAGTCAGTTCCAGTTTTCAGTCAGTTAGTTCAGTACTTTAATCAGTTCAATTATCAGTCATAATCAGTTCAGTTTGACGGTAATCAATGTTTATCGGTAAGCAGTGATGAGGGTTATTACACCTCTACAAAAACTGTTCGAGGAAGAGGGTAGAGATGGAGGTCCTCATCTGGAGTGAACTCCCAGTTCCCCGAGGTAATGAAGTAGTCATCCCCAGCTCCCTTGTTGGAGTCTGGAAGGTTGGCAACGATTTTGTACTCTGTGGACCTTGGTTTAAGGTAGTAAATATAGCCTGTATCTTTTTTGAGGCCACACATGGCGTAGCGATATTGGATGTCGGCTAAAGTAACCCTAGCATTCTCTTGTTTGGCTAAAGCTATTATACCATTTATGACTCGGTAGGAATTGATGGCAAGCTGCATTGGGTTCAACTTATAGTAGTGGATTATCTCACGAAAGAGGATGCCGAGTGGGAGCCTAAGCCCGCACTCAATAAAAGCAACAACAGGGGAAGGCATAGAATTAGTTGTGGGCATGATGGAGTTATCCTTCCCAGCCAACCTCAGATGAACGTCGGCCGGGATGTCAAACTCCCGCCTAAAGTGTTCTAACTTAGTCAGGGTGTCTACCCTATGCTTCTACATACCCATAACGTCGGCTTAAATTGGAGGAGCTGGATTTCAGAAAGAATGTGTTTTGTAAGAGTTATATAGACCTCGGCAAAAACCTAAAAGTGAGCTGGGGTAAGAATTTGTGGGGATCGTTTCAGTTCTTCTTAGAATTTGGGGGTTCTATAAACAAATCCCAAACCTAGATCTATGGAAACAAAGATTGAAGGCAAGAATTTGGAAAAAAAACACGGTAAACAGAAACAAGAATGTGTTTCAGAATCAAGAACAGGGATGAACTATCAAGAACACTGTGCTAGAGTGAGTGCAAGGGTATAAAGCCAAGAACAAGTGACAAAAGTGAAAGAAAATTGTGAGCAGTGTGTGTATTCAAGACATGGGCAAAAGCAAAGCCATGAAATAGACACACTCAGATACATGATTCATAAGTCGAGAACTTGAGCAAAACGACAATGACAACAAATAATAAAGTAAAGCTTTTCCAAGAACTAAAACTAGGAGGAACAGTGGCTTACCAGAAAAAGTGAAGCCGGTGTGAGGATCGCCGAAGTCAAACAACGGTTGCAAAAGCAATAGAGTGGTGAAAATCACGTCGGAGGAGACGAATACAGCAAGTTGCAGAGCTAGGAAAGCTTGAACAATGGCAGATCTTTTGAAAAAAAGCTAGAGAGAGAAAAAGCCTCAGAAACGATGGTGAAGAGTGAAAAGACGGGGAGATGAAGGAAGTTTTGTCAAAACTCGAAACGGCGGCAAAATGGAAATTAATGTGCCTAAAACGACGTATATGTCAGACGGCGCACGCTAGAAAAATTCGACTTACAGGCACGTATCATGTACGATCCAGTAAGGGGAAGACGCGTAGCTAAAACAGTTGAGTTATTATACATGACAGCTCATACACGTGAAGGAGCTCTTGGAATTCTTGTTCTTTAAAAAGACATGTCGGCCTATATGATGATCTCGGCTAAGAAATTTTAAGCCGACGTACTGGAAGAAAGTACTGATATAGGTTCCATCACCTCAGAATGCCGAGGTAATAGAACCTAGGGGGCAAGGATAAATTTACTGAGTACTAACACGTGGCCAAGGTGACGCCGACGTGTCAGCCGAGGTGCCACGTGTCCTCTAGGCCGAGGTTATCTCCGAAGATATCAGAATCCGAGATAAGCAGATAAGGGACAAGAGTCCTAAAATGAGGAAGGGACTCAGCCTGGATAAGGATAAAGCTCTTATGGAGTTTATCTTTATCTATTGGAAAGTTCAGGATAAGCACTGAGCTAAAATCCATTGAAGCAAGGCTTCTATTGGGATTAGGATTGGGTTAACTATAAGAAAGAGGCACCCTCATGGGTCTAAGGTACGCAATTTATATTCTGAACAGTGAGTTAAGCACTATTGATTATCTTTGAGATAACTGACTTGATCGTCGGCCAAGGTGACGCCGACGTGTCAGCCGAGGTGCCACGTGTCCTGGTCATGACGCCGAGGTGATCTCGGCTAGGCCGAGGTTATCTCCGAAGATATCAGAATCCGGGATAAGCAGATAAGGGACAAGAGTCCTAAAATGAGGAAGGGACTCAGCCTGGATAAGGATAAAGCTCTTAGGGAGTTTATCTTTATCTATTGGAAAGTTCAGGATAAGCACTGAGCTAAAATCCATTGAAGCAAGGCTTCTATTGGGATTAGGATTGAGTTAACTATAAGAAAGAGGCATCCTCATGGGTCTAAGGTACGCAATTTATATTCTGAACAGTGAGTTAAGCACTATTGATTATCTTTGAGATAACTGACTTGATCGTCAGAGTGCCCCTAGGTGGACGAACCACCGCCGGAATCTCTTATTTCTGTTGCAGGACATTCAGGCCCCATCTATTCTGCCAGTGCTCTCCAGTTGAAAGCTGAGTTGGCAATATGGTCAGAAATTCACCCACACAGGATCAATTATTTTAACATCGTAAAAGATCTTTTGCGACTATATTTCTATTATTTGTGACGGCTCGTAGCGATTGCAAAAAAATGTTTTTTTTTTTTGTAGTGTCAACACGATTGATGATATACTTGAGATGTCTGAAATAGACATATTTTGAGTGAAAACATTGGAACTACAAATTTGTAATTGAAATGTTGAGATATTATAAAGTTCTGTTCCAAATTTGAAATCAAAATGAGTTAGTGTTGTCAAAACAAACCTTTCTTTATAAACTGATGTGTCACTTATCGTACGGCATTCAAAATGTTGACAATTCATTACATCGGTTTTATAAGGGAAAAAAATTGTAATTTTTTTTAATTTGTTTAGTAAAAATTTACAAACTATATACTAGTTTAGTTTTTATTTCGTTTTCAATACTTGTAAATAGTTTATATAATTTACTAAATTTTTTCAATACCGGCCGAACAACCGGTGGGACTACCAGTTAGTCTAAATTTTCCCGCCTTCGACTGCGTTTTCAAAAGTAAGTGTGAAATTAATTTTTTGAAAATCATGAATAAACACCATATTCAAATCAAGCTCTGGAACTAACGTTTCAGAGCTCCACCAAACAGAGCTTACCATTGTCACCACAGGTGGGCACCCTTTCACTTGTCTTTTAAAAATACTTTTGCATGTGAGTACCTAACATGTTTTATGTTTTTATTTTTACTACAAATGAACATAAACATATTTCCTATTTTTTGTAAACAAAATGCAAGAACCATTCCTTATCACCATGACCACTAGCAACCTGTGTGAATCTCAAATGCACTTTTTACATATCGCAGAACATTTATTTATTTGTATAAATATATAATTTTTTTTCACATTTTAATACACTTTTTTTTATGCATTTCCAACACCAATGACAATCCTACCGTATTATAAGCATTTTCCTTACCAATTTGAGAACGTTGTTTTGAAGAATTAGAAATAGCAACCTGTGTTGAATTCAGATATCATCACAAAGAAGAACATCCAAAAGCTATAGCTCCACATTACTGCATTGTTTTTTCTGATTATAATTTTCAAAGACTATGTTCAACTAAATCACAACAAAGAAACAGTACAAAATAGTGATCAGAACAACCAAATTAAAAATTCAAATATACAAGATTTCCCAAGAACATGTATGTTGATAATAACTTACAATGGATGTGAAAGAATATTAGGATCAAGCCATCAGAGTAGAAAAACATCAGCAGCAACTTCGTTAACCAAAGAATCAAGAATTTGATCTTCAATCTCTAGTCCCAATTCAAATGCTTCAACTTCGAAATCTACCCATTTTCCATACTTTCCGCTCATATCCTTGTCCACGAGGTCATCCACCATACAATCTGCCATCCCTCTCCAACTTGAAATCTCCTTGTACACTTCTTTAGCTAACCGGTCTTTTCTTCTCAAAGTCGACAACCCTCTTGCCCATGTTCTGTGTCCCCCGCTTGCATAACGCCTACACCTCAAGTCCATACATTCGCTCACGCATTCAAACAAAACCTTTCGTGTCATCTTAGGATCGTCTCCTTGACTTTCCTTGACCTCTTTTCGACTTTCCAACTGATCAAAAAGATGAGGGTTTATGATCTCACGTGCTCGCCCCAATGCAAAGTCCTTAAACATTAGCTCCACATTAAACAGTACGTCATTCACATATTCTAGCTCCCAATCAGTTTTATTCCTTCTAGCAATAGTTCTAATAGATATGGAAGAAGCTGAGTCTGCTAATTCTGTATCTGTCTCCATTAAATGGAACTTCTTTGAAGAACTCCTACCAAGAACTTCTATAGCTTGAATGGATGACGAGCAATGCTTGCTACCTGGAATTAAAATATAGATTTTTCAATATTTTTTTTTATGATCAAACAGTAACTAAAAAATACCTGAGATTGAAGTGTAAAAGGTTGTCTCTGCACGCACCACCTTCTATGCTGTTACTATCTGCACTCTCTGAGGAGTAGCAACTTTCTGTTTGAAAAGAAGGTTCAAGAACTGATATTGGACTTGGATGTCGACACTGGAGCAATGTTATGGTTTCAGTATCATCACTGCTGCACTCATCCATTTCTAATGCTTCCTAGAAATGTTGGAGAAATTGAGTTAATTATTATCAAAAACAATCAATCAAGTAAGCTAGCAAGTGCATTTTGGAAGTAAAGATCCCTTTAGTTGAGAAGAACTCGATGCTGTTCTCAAAACATGCATGAAAAAAACTTGAAACCCTTGTTTTACTTAATAGTGGGATGGATTGCCGGGAGAGTGAGGTGTCTGGCTGTCTTTCTTCTTCTTCTTTTTTTTTTTTTTTTTTGAGCAGAAAAGTTTTGATGCTCCTGGATTACGGCAGTGCCATGGAAACAAACCAAATTGGCTGATAGAATGGTAAATTAAAAAGAAAGATCAAAGCATGTTAAGAAACATGACTAGCAGCAGACCTGGTGTTTGATCACCACTAGTCCCAACCTTCCCTTGTGCAACCTTGTTTTGCACATGGAGAAGCAAATATTCATACATATAGACAAAAAAGAATGCAAACGAGAATGCAAAATGGGGAGACTCCTAACATGAGCTCTAAGACAAAGTTAGATTACCAATTGTTCCAAAAACTTAAGCTATTAGCAAATAGGCCCAACAATCTGTATCAAGCTCTGCAACACTCGGTTACACCCCACCCCAATTTGGAGGGGGTGGAAAGAACAAATAAATAAGATATACCTTAAGCTTGTGTTTAGTCATGAGTCCCCGTGAATCGATTGAAGAAAAATTGAAGCCATATTGCCCACTCAATTTCTCTCTATGCATCCCATCTTGGCTCCTTTTATCATGTGACATTGGTGTGGTGGGAATCAAATTTTGAAAAATCAAAGCAGACGTACCAACCATCCCTGCTCTGTACCGGGAAGACTCTCCATGAGTTAATTCCCTTAGCTTTTGCTCCAAAAGACTGCTTAAAGCATCAGCCCCTATCACATTACATCGCGGGGAAGAAACCTTTCCACTATTTGTACTATTTGAGTCAAATAGCACCTTTTTACCTCTATAGTCTGCACAAAAACCATTGTTTTTCTCTGAAACAACCTGTCTTGAGATCTCACCTCCCGGTATTGATCGTGTCATTGGAGCTGTGAATGTAAAAGAAACAACATCCAACCCTTTCCTTTTGTTATCCTCAGCCCAAGTAAAGTGCCTATCAACAACTGAATTAGATTGTATTGTCTTCTCAGTTTTATCAACTAACATGCTATCGACAACCTGATCATTATCCAGGCGGAAATTCCCATCAATGGAGCGTTTCTTGCGAGGAACATTTCTTGTGCTGGAATACGAGGCTTCATTTTTACTATATGTTACCTCTGGGTTCAACTTTCTCGACCCAACTTTTGAGTTCCCTCCATATTTGCTTGCGTTTTTCTGTCTCCCTGATGAAGAATCTCCAGACAACCCTTTTCTACCTTGTGAGTTCGAAAGCAATGACTTTGAGGGTAGCTTTTCCTTTTCAATTAGGCAGTTCTGTTTCTGATTATTTTGCCTTAGCACATTAGAAGCATTATGTTTAAAAGGTTTCTTCTGCGTACTCTTTTGGCTATTTGATTGACATTTAAATGGCTGGCTTGACATGGCCTCACGCTTTTCTTTCTGGCCAAATAAACCTCTACTGCCACTCGGGCTCAAGCCTTCTCTTCTTTGAACATTAACCTTCGCTTGGAGTGCAAGTGAAATAGATTTTCCCTTGTTCATCATACCAGAACAATCTTCTGAATCGTCTGATCCATTCCAGCTCTTATTCATAGACTGCCCCTTGAGAAATTTAGCGGGATTTGATTCAACTGGCCTTCTAGAACTACATGGTTTTTGAACAGCTTCCATTTTCTCTTTCAAATCTCGGACTTTGAAGGGAACTGAGGAGGTCCCTAGAAGAGGCATTTTCGTCTTGTTCACTTGAGGTCCTTGCTCTATAATCTTAGCAGCTGCTTCCATTAAGTGAGCTGCGTTCTTAGATGGAATGAAACCAGGATTTTTGATGGGAGACAAAAGCTTTTGGTGGGTAATTGGAATTGATTTAGCTGATTTTGGAGGTAAAATCTCACTTTGGAACTTCTCAATTGGCTTATTTATCATTTTCTGAGGCTTTGGTTCCATTGCCTTCTGAATAGGGGCATCCACCTTGTTGTGCAAATGTCCAGAATGCGTGATTTGATTGTCATGATGAAATTGGAGGTTTCTTCGGTGGTATTGAGCGTCTTGAAGAGATTGGGAATCGAAGAATGGGATAGAGAAGGGATCGGTAAGATTGGATGTTGGTAAGGAATCCAATCCCATAAGCCTAGCAACTACCCCGGGTGCCCTAGCTTTGTATCCTTCCTCATCAGTCACTGATGAAGCACAACTGTAGTCGCTACTTCCCTTGATACTTGAACCTGAAACAGGTTCATCCTCTTCCATCTGAAGATAGGACAATAGTTACAAAAATTATAAACAAAAAATAAACAAGCCTTAACATTTAACCACTTGAGCATAATAGCGAAAAAAGTATTCAGATAGGGACACAAGACCTAGTTTGGTTCGGTAAGGGATGGTTTGGGATGTTCTAAATAAGTGTACTTTTTGACTTTTTATATAAATAAATAAAAAAATGTGTAGAAAAGTAGAAAAAGTGGTTAAAAAAGTAGAGAGGATATGTTGATAGATGTTGATTAATATGACCCAAATAAATGTATGTAAGTAAAAAAAGTTCACTTTTTTAGTTCCCCAAACACCTACTTAATCACTAAATCAAATAAAGTAATAGATAAACAATAAGAAAGTATAAATAAATAAACATATTCCCACCAGATTGAACCGTGTCGTTGGAAGATTCCCATCACTTCTCTTTTTCTGTTTTGATTGCTCTACACAAGAAATGATCAAAGACAATCCTTGAACAACTAGAAAAAAAAATATATTCAACACAAACACACACTTATGCATAGGCATCCATATTATGCACATGGAGTTGAGTTGTACCTGGTAAATCAGATTTGCTCAAGTACAACTTCTTTCGAGATTTTGCATTCCAATCAAACAGCTGGAAGAAGCCACCAACATAACCTCCTCCACCCTTCGAACCTTGTTTCTCACCCATCATCATATTCTCATCCAGATGTCACACACTTGGGTTGTTATGAATGACAGGAACATGAGCGAGGAGAGTCACCATTCTGTTTACCAAAATCCATCTGCAACTTAATCAAATACCATTTATATTATCAATTAACACATGAGAGAAAGACTTGCAGGGGAACAAACATGAATAATGAATAGATCACACCATTTTATTCGTAGAATCCCATATACATTATGAAAGACAAGTAACAGAATACCAAATCACGAGCCTTGAATTTACACCTTTACAAGTATGTTAGTATAATAATTTTAAATGTTACAAACTTTTTCAAAATTTGAATAGGCATGAAACAAGAACAGAGTCTATATCTGTATAATTCAGTTTTTTGCATTTACTGTTTATCTTCCCAAAAACTTGAATTTATACCAAAAAATGCTGAACTATGCAAATGCATATACCCAGATTGCCAAAGTTCCTAGTTCAAACAAATAATGAAGTTTAAAAAAAAAAAAGAAAAAAACTTTCCCTCAATTTGGTTGCCAAGAAATCTAAAGAACCAACCAAAAGAAAGAAAGAAAGAAAAAGGTCTTAAGTAAGCCACATTGCCATACCAGACACAGTTGAGTGCAGATTCTGGTATCAAGGTTCCTAAAGAATGAAAAGACTTAGAAAGTTTCAATTTTTCAATTTTATTCCCTTTTCCTACATTTTTTTTTTTCCTCTTTTTGGCAAGTATTTCCTTGCGTTTTCTCAGCAACCAAACACAGCAATAAGTATAAAAAGGAGTAAACAACAATGATTTGAAAAAAGGCCTTTAAAAAAGCCACAATATGCTATACTAGAGAGTAGAGAAAGTTGAATGCATGTAGAATTCGAGGTTCCTAAAGAACGAAAGACATAGAAAGTTTCAATTTTTGAATTTTATTCCCTTTCCGAACACTTTTTTTAATCTTTTTGGCAAGTTTTTCCCTGTATTTCCTTAGCAATAAGTAAAAAAACAACACTAGTTCAAAACTCTCCACTCATTTCACCACCAAACACCGCAGAGATCGAGTACAGCAACTTCATTTGATTAACCATAGAAAGTTTCAAATTTTGAAATGTATTTTCCTTTTCCTAATTTTTTTTTCTCCGACTTTTTGGTAAGTCTTTTCCTGCATTTTCTCAGCAAACAAACACAGCAATAAGTCTAAAAAAACAACATTAATTCAAAACACCCCATTCATTTCACCACCAAACAACGCAGAGATCTAGTACAGCTACTTCATTTGACTAACTTCCAAAACAACAAAAACATCAAAAACACATAATCAACCATTCCATCTAATCACATATCAAAGAAACCCAAAACAAGACAAAAATTAAATAAATGAATAAACCCAAATTTAATTTCCAGTCAAATATCAATATAATGAACCCAGAATCAGAAAAACTTACTCAAACAACTTCCAAAGATTTGCAAGGTCTCTGATCGCAGACCTTGCAAATCTTTGGAAGGTCTAATCACATATCAAAGAAATCCAAAAAAAAAAATCTAATTTCCAAACAAAGATCAATATAATAAACCCAGAATCAGAAAAACTTACACAAACAACTTCCAAAGATTTGCAAGGTCTCTGATCTTTTCTACCCAGAGAGAGAAAGTGGGAAGAGAAAGGTTTGGACCCTTTAGTCAGAGAGAGAGAGAGAGAGAGAGAGAGAGAAGAGAAAGCTCGATTCTTGTGTATAGCGAAGAGTGTTGAGTGGTCGCGAAGCTGAAGCATTAATTGGAGACAGAAACGTATTGTTGACAACACAATAATAAATGCAAGTGTTTTTAAAAAACGTTGCGAAAAAAACAGTAAATAGTAGAATTGTGTGTGGAGACAGAGAAAGAGACAAAGAAATGGTTCTGTAACGTCTCTCTAGAGAGAGAGAGGGAGAGGGAGAGGGGAGGAATTTCAAATTCCAAATGGGGCTGCGAGGTTATCGGGAGCAGTGATCCTATGCATCGCAATACGTGTACCACATCGATTTCAATGCCCTGAGGTTCGAGAAGTTCGCATGGTCATACGTGTTAGCTGATGAGGGTGGTGTATAATATATTAATTGGTATATTAATATTAGTTATAATATTATTATTAATCTCACTTATTATAGAAATTATAAATATCAAAAATTATTTAAATTATGTCACATCATCAACTAATACATTAATTGATATATATAATATTATTCTTTCGCGAACTAAGAACTCATGTACATAAAAATATTAAAAATTAGCGATCGGGCACATGAGATGCGTATGTAAACTCCTTTTGAGTTCTAATATGAAATTCAATTTATTTTTTTCCTGATACTTAGGGGTATAAAAATGGCCTAAGACCCAAGATGGGCCCGGCCCGTTTAGGCCCGCTTGGGCCCAAGCTTGAACCCAGCCCAACCCCTTGGGCTAGGGCCTAGGCCATCGTTTTGAAGCCCAGCTCGTCGGCCTGCTTAAGACCCACTTAGGGTCCGGTCCCAAGCCCAGCCCACCCGAGACCTAGTGTATTTTTTAGTGAAAAATAATAAACTTTTAGTATAAAAAAATTTTAAAAATTAAAAAAAATAGCTAAACCCACCTAAGCCTGAGGTTAAACCCAGGCCCACCAAGCAGGCCCGAGGCCCGGCCCATTGGCCTGTCCAAGGCCCGAATACCCCCGGGCTAAGGCCTGGGCTTAGTTTTTTTGGCCCTTGGGTTGGCCTGAATTTTTGGCAAGAGCCCGCGAAGCTCGACATGAGTCGGGCCAGATTTACACCCCTACTGATACTGCACATATGAATCATATGTATAACTGTCACGACCCAAACCCGCCCTATAAGTTTAGCATCGCAACCGGCCAGTAATCCTTGAATTACCAAAGGCCTTATGACAGATTAACAAACAGATAGGGGCTGCGGAAACAAATATACAAAATAGACAAGGTCCAATGAGTTGCGATAACTTACATGGGACAGAATAGCTTGAAACTTTTATAAAATACAAGTGAAGTTATCAGACATAATATTTAGACAACACACATAGGCGTACAAGACAAAAATTTCGCCTACAACTTAACAAACAAACATAGTCTAATACAGATTACAAAAACAGCCACAAAACCAGACTTCATCAGGAACCTCCTCGGGAGCAAAGGTTGGCTGACAAAACTGAAACGTAGGGCGTCAACTCTGGCCCTGATCACGTGTCGGCTCACCTACATACATAATATAAACAGTGAGCGGAAGCCCAGTGAATAATAACGGAGTAAAGGGTTTTAATGAATGAAGTCCATACGGATTCATAATTCGGATTCATAAATAAATTCATATTCATATTCTTGTCCAAAATAACTACGGCAGTCAGAGTTCATGCTTAATCATACGTGGTACATCCATTAGTGCTAACAGAGCAGATACAGAACAGATGCAGAACATGTGGTGGTTATAAATAACCAATTCCATAAAGGAACCTCCGGATCCGAGTAACAGAGAATAAACATGCTGAGTCCCATGATAGAGCCTCCGGTACGGGTAACAGAGTGCAGACATATTAAGTTCCATAATGGAACCTCCAATACCGGGTAACAGCTAACATATATCACATGATGCTAAGGATGCCACAAATACATGTCAGAAATTGGACAATCATTCATTGTACAGAACATAGCATTTCAAAAAACAAATCTTATTTCATCATACAGAAAATAAATAAAGTTGAACATAACTTTACTATGTTATTACTTACAGTTGGCTTCGGGTACAGATAGACAGAGCAGACTAACCAAATGGTTTATGGCACGTGACCTACACGAACACATAATAAAAACACGCTTGAAACACCGATTCGAATTACACATAACTTACTTTCTTTGCTCTTAGCGTGTTTCTAGCCATATGGGGTCTTAATCATGGCCTAGGAATGCCTAGGATGGAATGGAGATGCAAAAATGCACTTGAAAATATTTTTCAAAACTTGTTGAAAACAGGGTCCACGCTCGAGCATGGCTTTCCTTGCTCGAGCGGACATGCAAGAAGTGAAGGTTCGCTCGAGCGTGAATTCCCTCACTCGAGCGGACTGTAAATTTCAACAAAAGTACTAGATACATGAATTTCACACTTGACGGACGCTCGACCTCCGCTCGAGCGTGAGACTCAGACCTTCGCTCGAGCGTAAAGTCTCTCGCTTGAGCGGACTGTAAAACATATGAACTTCTGGGTACATGTATTTCACGCTCGAGCGCGTCTCACGTCGCTCGAGTGGAAGTGCACATACTCAGAGTGCTCGCTCGAGCGTGGAATCCTCCGCTGGAGCGTGGATCAAATTTTTGGAATTTCCAGATTTGATCTTCAAGTTCAAACTCAGACATTAAAGCATCAAACTTCATTTTTCTGGACCAAACTTGAGGAAACACTTAGAAACTCATAAATCAACATGTTTAAAGGATCATTTCAAGAAATCATGTCCCAATGACATGCCAGTTGTACAAAATTCAACTTGAAACTCAATAATAACTCAAGAACATGACATGCATGTAATTCTTTGAGCCAAAGCTTCTCAAAACATGATCAAGTGTTACCAAACAACATAAAACTCATTGTTTTCCCAAAATTAAAGTGAATACAAGACATGCATGAGGAAATTCTTTGAAAATACATTTAAAACTTCATGAAATGCACATACAAACACAAATTTATTTGCAATTCCAATCTTTAGCTCAATTCTTGCATTAATCAACTTAACTCTCTTCTTTTTATGCATTAGAGTCTAGACTTCAAGGCTATAAGACAAAATTCTTACCTAAAGGCTTGAATTTACAAGTATGAAAGTTGTATGTCACGACCCGAACCCGCCCCTATGGGTGAAGGACATGACCGGCCAGTAATCCTGTGATTACCTACGGCCTCAGACCGAAACAAGAAGAAGACTTGTCAGAGTAAAGGGGCCAAACGGAAGCAAAAATTAAAAACTTTGTCCATAGAGCCGTGCTTATATGCACATCAAACAAACCATACTCAGATACGTTAATAACCCACATCAAAGGTACAGTTTCACAAAATTCATTACAGATAGGATCATCCAAACTAAGTCAACCCATGAAAACTATATACAGACGTATTCAAAACTTCGCCAACCTGACAAAATGTAAATATATAACAAAAGGGCGAAGACGGGTCTCGTGCGTGAGACACAAGGGCTGACTCTCTCAAAACCTTAGTTGCTCCATACAGACTTCACTGAGGCTGGGTCTGGACTTCTCTTGGCTCACCTACAAACACATGAATGAGCGTAAGCGAAAGCCCAGTGAATAATATCAAATATGACAGTTACATCACAATATGTAGAACAACATGCTCCAAACCGGCCTTGGGCCATCATACCTCTAATTAGCAAATTATATAACTTATGAAATGGCAAATCAAGTAACTGTAGTTCCAACATTCTGGCCTTTGGCCCATTTGGGTTTCCATTCATGCAAAACGGCCTTCGGCCCATTCACTTAAGTCGAAACGGCCTTCGGCCATTATTTTTGTCCAAATGGCCTTCGCCCATTCATTCATGTCAAAACGGCCTGTGGCCCACTCGTTCATGTCAAAACGGCCTTCGGCCTACTCATTCATGTCAAAACGGCCTTCGGCCCACTCACATGTGTCAAAACCGACCTTTGGTCCATTCATTTACATCAGGACGACCTTTGGTCCATTCATTTATATCAGGACGACCTTTGGTCCATTCATTCACATCAAACAACCTTCGGTCCATTCATTTATATCTAAACGACCTTGGTCCATTCATTCAGCATCAAACGGCCTTTGGCCGGTCCATCCATTCATTCCTGTCAGACTTTTGTCCACAATCCCAATTAACAACTCATAAAGTTTATAAGGGAATAAACAATTGGACATTGACAAGTTTTCAAATATTGATATTACTCACAGTGATCGGCTTGTGGATTTGCCCTGGAGCTTGACCCTACACATTCCATGCACACAAAAGGGTCATTAACGATTCAATCCGTCCCTTAATTCACATATTCCTCTTTAGGTTTTATTCTTATCTCATTAACTCATTTACAATGCTTAATATATGCCTAAGAGTGCTTGCAAGTGAAAGAGAACGGAAAACAGAACACAAAATGCAAAAACAGAATTTCAGAAAATAGGGTCCCCGCTCGAGCGTGGACTTCCCCGCTCGAGCGGACCCTTAAGGCCTGCAAAAGTACTGGTTGCATGAAAAATACGCTCGAGCGTTAAATAGGGCGCTCGAGTGGAAGGCCTGTCAAAATAGCTCCCACGCTCGAGCGTCGACTTCCACGCTCGAGCGGGAACCATGTCTGTAGAAAATGCTGGGAGCTCGATTTCTTCGCTCGAGCGTCACTTAACCCGCTCGAGCGGACATCAAAAATCTGGGTTTTTCCAGATTGAGTTCTTGAGCTTCATCTCGACATTCAAAGGCTCTAAATGCATGATTTCGGCTCAAACTTCACATAATCATATACTAACATGGTACAAACATAGAATTACAACACATTGAAGCTCAATTTCATAATTTATTTACATGCATGGCTCATTTTCCACCAACTCATTACCAATGTAACCCTTTCATGCATTCGAAGCTCATATCTTCTCAATTTGTACATGCATGTGATGGATTAGCCACATTCTCAACTTAGATAACACAAATGGTGATCAAGACATGAGTTTCCTTTAATATTTCACATGGTTATACACATTTGTGCTCAAACATGCAAATTTCAAAGTATTTCTTACATGCATGCACATATTAAGCTTCAATTCAACAAACACAACTCAACTTCATTACAATCTTGTTCTTGATCACCAAGATAGCTTGG